GGGGGGATAGGATTAGGAACGGACGCCGGGCGGGAAAGGGGGGTGGGAATTTTGTTAGGGGGGGTGAGGTCCAGTGGGCGGATCCAGAAAATGTTTAACGGACTGTATCTGTTGACTACACTGTAATGCCCCCCGTTGTCGCTCTTGCTGTCAGTCACCCTCACCGCGGCGCAAGCCCCGAGTATTAGATGGGTGACTGGCAGCGCTGCGTAACGTCTTCTCTAGCTACTCATCCGTTTCTCAGCACCACCTGCAGAGAAACGATTTTCCCCGTGCCTACGTGCGGAGGTTCGACACAGCTTACCTCCTTGCTCCCGGCGAGGCGGAATGTCAGGAGTAGACCCAGCGAATATCAGCCCTCCTTCCGATCCGGTGCCAGCCAACGTGTCGCCCTCCCTTCCCGCTCTCGACGCCGCCACCTCCGCGGCGATCTCTGAGCTTGTTGCAACTCAGCTCAGAGAGGCGCTTCAATCCCTACAACCGAATGCAGGGACCCAACAGGGGGTTTACGTCACCTCAGCTTACCTCTGCCAGGTGTCGAACAGGCTCTCCGAAGTCGCAGAAACCCTCGCAGGTCTCTTGTCGCAAGACCAGTCATCTGTCTCACAAGAGGCTTTCCGTGCCGAAATCTTTAAGATTTCTGATCAGCAAGTCGCCGTGTTTGGGGTGTACGAGCTCAACGCCGCCAAGTACGAGGTACTGTGCGGAAGGCAGGGAGCTTCTGGGGTCGCCGACCCAGACCTCCTCGAGGCGTACATCGACCCGCCTGCCGCCTTCAGCTCAGCGGGCCGGCAGGCGTTCCGGCGTCAGCAGGTCCAGTCCATTCGCTTCGCCGCCCAACTCGCGGGGCGTCGTCGGGGTGGACTCAACGCGCCGCCGGCTATCCGAGGCCTTCTCCGAGGCCCAGCACCCGCCAGTAGCTCTACCTCAGCACAGACCCCATCCACCAGGGGTCGAGGGCGAGGACGGGGACGCGGACGTCGAGGGGGTAGGAGCAACTAACCACAATGGGTTCAACGGGTCGACCGACAGACCCTCCCTCGGTGCAGGTGGGCAACTCGTACAGGGCGTGGGAGGACGTAGGTGCGAGCCTTTGGTTGGTGAGGCAGTTGAGGTTCGGACTACAACTGCCGTGGATGAAGGAGGTGCCCTACCAGCGCCCCCGCCCGTACTCGATGGCGAGGGAGGACGGGCTGTGTGCGAAGGAGGAGTCTACGCGTTGGTTGGAGATGGGGTTTGCGCGCAGGGCGACAGAGTCGGAGGCCCGCTTGCTGATGCGTACCGGCCTCATCTTCCCATCATTCGTCACACAATCGGCGGGGAAGAGGAGGCTGGTCAACGACTACAAGCGAGCCAACGAGTGCATGGAGGCGAGGAAGTTCAGGATGGACCAGATATCCGACCTTGCCTCCGTGCTGGTGAAGGGCGATCACCTCTTCAAGGCCGATATCAAGGACGCCTACTACCACCTGCGCATAAGAAGACAAGATCAGATGCGGTTGGCCTTCTTCGTCGGGGACCGCATCTATCTACCGCTTTGTCTCAACTGTGGCCTCGCCGTGGCCCCGTGGTTCTTCACAAAGGCAGTAGCTCCCGTCGTTGGGTTTCTACGCAAACTGGGCCACCGCGTCTTCTCCTACCTGGACGACTTCTTTGGTGCCGCCAAGCCTGCACCAGGGAGTCGCTGCGCTGGTCGCAGGGAGACCCGCCAGTTCGGGCGCATGATGCGGCTTCTATTCGAGAAGCCCGGACTACTGCTACACCCGCTGAAGTGCTTCTTCCAGGGCTCTACGCGACTCGAGGTCCTCGGCATACTCGTCGACACCGACGGGGAGCGCTTCCTCCTACCCCCGAAGAAACTCGCCGCGATCGAGCGCAGCGCCGCAGCCCTACTCAAGTACGCCTCGCAACACCGCCGCTACGTCAAGCGAAAGGCGGTGGAGCGCTTCGCTGGCTTGGCCAACGCTGCCGGGCCCGCGGTTGTCGACGCCTGCCTCCGCCTCCGCAAGCTGTTCTTCGCGTTGGGCAGCTCCGCCAATGGAGCTGCGGAGCGCAAGGAGCGAGGGCAAAGTACGCAGGGGGGGCCTCAGCGAGCCCGGGCGAGCCCCCCTGAAGTACTTCGCCCGCAGCGACGCAGCGTGCAGCAGCTTCATGTGCCCTGCCCGGAACGGGTCAAGGGTTTGGCCGCGCGGGCGCCTCAAGAACAGTGACACCGGGCGCTCCGCGCCCGGGCCCGCCGCAGGCGAAATTTTTGAGCGTGACGAAACGAAACGTGACGAAACGAAACGTGACGAAACGAAACGTGTCGAATCGAAACGTGACGAACGGAAAAATCACAGTCACGGCTTCGTTTCGACGACATGGCGCGGGGCGACGCGGCGATCCGCACCTCAGTCACGCAGCGATGCGCGACTTGCAATGGTCGGGACGGCTAAGCAGCAACCCACACGTGGGGCGCGCTATCTGGTCGCACCCCGACGCATGCCTCTTCACGGATGCCAGCATGTCGGGGTGGGGAGCCGCCTGGCAAGGGGAAGTGCCGGCGTCGGGTTTCTTTGGCGAAGAGCAGGAGGGCGCCCACATCAACGAGCTGGAGCTGAGTGCCGCCCTCCTCGCCCTCAACAAGTTTCTACCCTTCGCCCGCCGGCGCCACGTGTTGCTGGTTACCGACTCCCTGGTGACCGCACACGTCGTTCGCAATTATACAAGCCGTTCACCCCGCCTCCTCGCAAAGCTACGCCTACTCAGAGAGCTTTGCGAGTCGAACAGCATCGCTATCTCTACGCGCCACCTTCCATCCGTGCTCAACTGCTGGGCCGATCGGCTGTCACGGCGGAGGGACAGCTTCGATTGGCACCTGCCCCCCGACGGAGAACGGCTCCTGGAACGTCGTTTCTCCGTTCCTCTCATCTTTCTCGACGGCCACGCCCTACCCGATCGCCCCTGTCCGTCCGCCTTCTTCCCTGTCGTCGTGCCCCGGCCAGCGCTCCTGGGTGTTTGGGCCCGCTACCTCGCCGCAAGAAATGGGGCCCTCATCACGCCGCATTGGCCCCGGCAGCAGTGGTTTCAGAGCGCCGCCGCCGTCGCTCGCCCTGTGCTGCTGCCGACCTCCATCACGACGCCGTGGCCCAGCGCCATGTTCGTATTCGGGCAGCTGCCCGGAGCCGTTGGCAGAATGAGGGTACCGCCGCAGCCACCCGATTACTAGGGGCCCGCGCGGGGGCCTCTGATGCCGCACGGTTGCTGGGACGCACGCTTGCATCGAGTACGCAAGCGGCGTACCAGCACCATTGGGAGGCCTTTCGAGCCTACTGTGCTGCTGACAGGGTCCGCTCTCTTCCCGCCGCGCCCGTGACGGTCGCCTGTTATCTTGGACATTTGTATGGGAAGGGGACTGTACGCGGTGGTTCCATCCGTCCCTACATTGCTGCAATCGGATCCCACCATCGCCGCTTTGGGCTCCCCGACACGACGGATGATCCGCTTGTTACCTCTGCGCGGCAAGGAAACCTCGCTAACGATGCTGCTCGCTCTGACGGTCCCCCTTTGCGCTCCGCCCCGCTTCCCGCCGCTTGCGCCGAGCGCGCCCTGAAGCTGGCCCTCGCTTCAGCCACGCCTCGCGTCCTTCAGCGGTGGGGCGTGATTGCCGTCGGCTTCCTGCTGTGCACACGCCCCACTAGCTTGCGCCCGCTTCGCCGTTCGGATGTCCATCTGGGACAGGGCGAGGTGACAATCCAGATGGTCCACTTCAAGTATGGCGAGCGCGGAACCTCGCCCCGCATCGCGCTTCGCATCCCTGTTTCCTCGACCGCCGACCCCGTCTACCGCCTACTCTGGTCGCTCGTCCGCGCCGCTCCCGCTCCCACGTCCTATTTTTTCCCGGGCCCGTCTACCGCTGTCGCACTCACCGCGGCCGCGCTCCGTTCCGCCTTGGAAGAACTCGTTCGCAACGTCCCGCCTCCGGCTGGCACCAAGTTCACCGCTCGCTCGTTCCGCAGTGGAGGAATCTCTGCCGCGTACGCCGCGGGGGTGAGGCTCGCAACCATTATGCGGCTGTCGAACCACACCTCCGCCGAGGTAGTGCATAAGCACTACCTTGACGCTCTGCTCCCGGTTTCTGCCGCGGCACGGGTATTCTTCGGGCGCTTCGGGCCCTCGCCTGCCCCCCCGTCCCATTTGTGACCGGCGGCCAGTCTCGACTCTTTGGCATATTTCGGCGCGGGGCATGGATTACAGACTGTATCTGTTGACTACACTGTGATGCCCCCCGTTGTCGCTCTTGCTGTCAGTCACCCTCACCGCGGCGCAAGCCCCGAGTATTAGTTAGGTGACTGGCAGCGCTGCGTAACGTCTTCTCTAGCTAGTCATCCGTTTCTCAGCCCCGCCCGCCCGCTCCTCGCGACCGCGCCTTTTTGCCAAGCGTCTCTATTTTCATCTTCTTTTCTACGTTCGAATATGATACGTTACCTTTATTGCATGATACGGCACCTGTATTGCGTTGCGTTACTACATAACGGCCGTGATCCCAGAAATTATTTAGAAATTACTCCTGAAATAAAATCTGTGTTACAAGGCATATTTCGGCGCGGGGCATGGATTACGCGCCACATTTGGCAATCTGACCTGAAGTCAACGGTTCCAGAAAACATTTGCCCTCTACGCGCAACAGCCACGGATCCAATCAAAGTACACAACTTTCCCGCCAAACCTGTGTAGCCCTGATCTCAACATCAAGAAACACCGTCTTTGCCCATAACCGTCTCAGCTGGTGCACACCGTTCCCCCTAATCCCTTTCCTAACCACATCCACAGCAAAAATTCAACTTCCGCCATCCGCAGTCTCGAGATCAGTCCTCAAGAAGATGTCCATGCACAGAATGGAATCCGTCCCGTGGCCTTGGATCCCTACATCGAATCAGCAACCTCCCTCCTCTCAAAATCCCCTACCATCATCATCGGCATTCCAACCGCCCAAGACCTCCTCCATTCCAAATGTTCCCCCTTCCACCAGCCCGATTGAAAATGACAGTCCCACTGCCAGTCACCGGAAAAAAAGGAAAGGGATCGCGAGCTGGAGCACCAAACTACAGTGATAGTGACGTTAACGATCTCCTCGACATCGTCGCAGTTGTCGAACCCCTCGGTGCGAACCAGTGGGCAATAGTCGCCCAACAATTGAACGACTGGTGCACAGCAAATGACCGCCCGGACCGTGATATGGATTCTGTCAAAAATAAATTCGATAAACTCGCTAACACGAAAAACCCAACTGGAGATCCGCAATGCCCTCCTTCTGTCCGTCGATCCAAAGAAAAAGCACGAGAGATACATGCCAAATGCGCTGCCTTTACTATTGGGGATGAATCGTCAGACGACGAACAGACCGAGCGAGATATTGCACGAGAAAATGAAACCACTGATATCTCAGAGCAAGTCAACGGAAACGAAACAAATCAAACTGCGGACGACGGTGAAAATGTACGTGAGGAAAATCCTCACTTAAACGCTCTTGGAAAGAAACAGTTGGCGCGCGTCGTAACAAACGCAGGCCCGGGTCGACTGAGGTTAAGAAACAACCTGAACGGGATGGCCTTGTAGCATAAACACCCCAACGACAGGGGTGTATGCTCAGTCCGCGTAAGAGGCCCTGTAGAACGCGAGAAGAACAGAAAGGACCAGTAAGCAACGCGTGAGGAAGGACACGGGCCGGTAGCGGTGGTAGAGCGGGTCGGGTCGCGAACGCGTTAGGGTACGCAGTAGAGCGGATCGACATCTCGACGCCCCGGCGCGGCACTGGGTGACGCTCCAGTGACGACGGGCGGAGGCGGATCCTAGCTCACACGCGCGCGTACGCGTCCGCTACCCGTGTCCTACTCTAAAACGCGAACAGAGAGAGCGTGCGCGAGTTAGAGTAATCGTTCCGGGTTAGCCGACGGTGAGGTTCTGGCCAAGCCGATGCTTCCCTTCCGTCCGCCGCCGTCGGTTCCTGTGGTTTAATATACATTTACGTGTCTGTCGCGTGTATCATACAGGGCTACAGTACAGTCCGTACTGCACTGTAGCGCGTTACAGTGCTGAGCTACCGTACTCAGCTACTGTAGCGCTGTCCATACACGTGTGCGCGCGCGCGCCGATGATACACGTGTGTGCGGGCGTCCTGACAGTCCTGAAAGTACACGTGTTGCGGGCGTCCTGACAGTCCTGACAGTACACGTGTGTGCGCGCGCGTGATCTAATTCTAAATCTAGTTCTGATCCGCGCTGATGCTACAGGCCTCACCGAACATGTCGGTGACATTTCGAAAGGCATACATGGGGATCTCTAAAGCAATCTCAGATCAAGCACACGCCATAATAGGGATGTCTACAGGCCAACAAAATAATAGTATCGGAGAAACAGAAATCAAAAGGATTATACAAGATGAACTTAAGTCCGAGCTAAGCGCCACAAAGAATTCAATTTTGGAACTTAAGTCGTTGATAGTATCGTTTATGAACCAAACTCAGAGCTGAGACATGTAGCAGATAGACTACTGCTCAATGTACCCTTCAAGCCATGGTTGTGTAATAGTGTCGCAATTCGCGTACGTCGTTCTGATCTGAATCAATCCTACAAACCGGGTTCGGAAATTAAAAAGATGAACTATAATCCTTAAAAGGCGTTGGCGTTTGAAACTATCTGAGGACAAAGGGCATTTAAGTCTTGCAAATGGGTCCTTTATAGCCCGGACTCCCCATTCAGCTGATTGCCTCTCACTTGGCATGACGCGTTGTAATATTATGTCAACGGCAGCCATCTCTGACGACTTAGGTATTCCTTTTGTTTCGTTTGACTTGCGCCCTCGAACAATTTTCCCTTTCGTATGTCTAATGTCTCCAATGAATGCACTGTCTCCTAGAATGGCATACCCGGGGGGCGTCATGCTGTCCGAAAGTTTGTGGAACAGTAGGCCAGAGGCATTTGCCAGTTTGCTGTCGTGCCAACTTCCCGGAAAGTTAATTCCTGCGTGAATTATCTCCCCAAAAAAGTTCCAGACGAACAAGTTAGTCACCTCGACACTCTGTGTGTAGCCCTCATAAAAGGGGTTCTGTAAATCAGCATTAGTGTAGTCGGCACAGGGCATGCGCGCTCCGTCTACTACCGCGAACACACCTTCCAGGAGGGGGCCAAATTTTCGGTTAGTTTGCAACAAAGCGCTTGACGATTCCATCTCGTCCACTGTAGGCCATCGCACCTCGAAGTCGGTTCTTGATCTACGCTTCACAACACGAAGCAAAACTTCCAGTCCGTAATCAAACCATACCCCAACCGAGGAGGGTACCAACACAAATATTGGAGCAAGCATGTATTGAGTAGTGCTAGCCTTTAGGTACCATAGTACCATCCCAAGAATATCAATTGAGTTTATAGTACACTTGCGGCCTCGCACCTTCGGACCGACTCTGTAGGGACTCCCGAAATTCATTTTTGTTTGTTCGTGAGCAAAAACGGGAAGAAGCCGAGAGATACTGAGGTCTTTTGGGATATTCACCGCGACGACAAAGTCGGAAACCCCGCTACAAGCTAAAAGCTGCTGCCACGGCGTGGGATATCAAACCGGAGTACGCGAGATCAGCGCTCTTCGCAAGAATTTTGGTTTTCGAATGCGCTTGTTGGCACCATTGGAATGTGCTGTTCTGCTCTGACTTGCGATGAGGACGGAGCACATGGCTCCGTTTGAGGCAACAAGGGCAGCTAAACTGGAATTAATCAAGACTACAATGTGACGTGCTTGCAATCTGCTCATGATGCAAATGGAAAAGTTTTCTTAGGGAGGGCGTCAAGGTCCTGGCGGGAGGAGAGGCGGTGAACGAGGAGGAGGACGGGGGGGCGGGGGTTTCAAGGGTGTGCTCCCGGGCGAGGGCGAGGGACGAGGCGGTGGGCTGGGGGAGGAGGAGGGGGAAGAGGAGGGGGGAGGAGGAGGAGGGGGGTTGGGGAGGGCTCGGCGACTCAGGCGACGAGGAAGGTGAATGGGGGGTGGGTGAGGTGGGTGATGGGGGAGGGGTGGGTGAGGGTGGCGAGGAGGGCGTGGTAGGGAGCCTGTTTTGGCGAGGAGGTGGCCCGAGATATCACCAGCGAGAACACGCCAGACGGATTGGCTTGTAAAGCCTACGGTGGTCGTACTGCTTCTTGTATCGACTTTTTGCGCGCCAAAAAGCGATGTGTTGAGGAGTGGCGAAGTGTAGAGACCCCCCTCACCCCTCTCCAAATTCTCTCAAGTGGCGGAACGGCGCCACACTAGATGAGATCCTATTGGATGGCTATAATTAAAGTGGGAGAGTGGCAAATTCCTGGATCCACCCAGTCTTAAGACAGTTTGGACCGGCTTGGACGGGCTTGTTTTGGACGGTCATGGACACTTCTTTTTTGAAATACATAAAATAATCGAGCTGGAATTATTAAGTGTGCGCAAATCAGGATCTTGTCGCCCGTGACACTATCATCACAGCAACATTACGGTTGTGTGTCCTCTTCCCTCGAGTAGTCTCCAGTATACAAGACGCGAACAAGAGAATCATCATGTAGTCCATGACGCGCTTGTCAAATTCTTCACCACCGAGATGAGTATCACCATACGAACTCGTACACATCTCCGTGTCTCCCTTTTCACCACACACGCATATCTCCAACTCTAACCCCCTCATCCCCCCCGCTCTCTCTCCGCACATACGCCCTCTCTCCATCCCTCGATCCGGTATACAATCCTTCCCCCTCCATCCCCCTTCAACTATTTTCCGTTCCTTGCCACCCCCGTCTCTCAGCCCCAAGCCATCATGGGCAACTCTTCCCCCTGCCGCTGCGTGCTCGCCGTCGCTACCGCCTTGCCCTCTCCGCGTCGCACTCCCAGGATGCCCTTCCTCCCCCAGAGATCCAATATTTCAAACCCAACGGCTTGTACTCCACCTGTCAATGGGACGCCAAAACGGTGCGGCATCTCATTCCCCGCCATGAGCTCACCCCTCGTCACCCCGGTATGGACGAGCCTTCGGAATCGTTGCGCGAAGAAGGTCCTATCTCCATGCTGGTGTACCCCGTCCTGAACGAGATTCGTTGCTTCCACGCGCGTCTCCGCACCGAGTGCTACCTGCGGATCAGTCCCCGCGCCACAACAAGGAGCCATATCCCTTTTGCAAGTAGAAGCGGGTCTAGGCGTCGTACAAAGGGCTGCGGGACAAGCGGGACATGGACTGCAAGGAGGTCAGCTCTTTCCGACATTCTCCATCTCACTCATTGTATGCTTGCTCTTCCATATGTAGCCCTTACGAGAGCCATCCCGCCCTCCCCAAAACGTTTCTCCGTTACCTGTAAGGAGAGCAAACAGAGAAAAGTTTTGGGTTTTGTCCCAAGGGCGAACATTCAAATTGCAAAGTTCTCCATCACTCTTCTATTTCTACGTCCCATTGCTGGTCCGTAAATTCAGTTTCCCAAATGTCTTCAATCCACTTTTTTGCGACGGCACCATGTTCTTCATCACTCCGGCGCCAGCTCTAGATAGCTTGGCAGGTCTTCTCTCCTCTCCATTCACATTAGCCACCTTCTCTCTTATCAATTGCTATGACTTTGTCACTGGACGGACCTCAATTCGTCTACGACAAACGTATAGTGCAGTCCATATGTTCTCTTTCTTACGATCACCGTTTGATGGCACCGCCGAGCTCCCCTACCCAAACACCGATTGCCGAAAATGTCCTGGGACAAGCTCAGAAAATTGAAACGATGAAAGTTCTTGCTCCTGACAGGGATGAATCATTGACAAAGAGCTCGTATTCATCGTCGGAGGAAGGCTACTCAGCTATTGCGGCCGCTATCTTTGTTCTTTCACCAGAAACGAAGGTGACGCATCGTCAAGTCAGTTATCCGCGAGCCGAGCTTCCATTTCTGTACACCATTACCTTCGAAGATGTGATGAAGAGGTTTTCCCCGCAAACGTTCCGCAAGGCCTATCGCATGTCGCTTACTGCATTCAATGCTCTCATCACCCTAGTGCGAGATAAATTGGATAGACCTTTCAAGGGCCCCAGTGAGTACAGAAGGGGAACTATTCCATCTCACATAAGACTCGCAGTGACACTGAGGTTCTTATCTGGGGGTAGCTATTGTGACCTAGTACTTGCATATCAGATCCAGAAGTCCACCATTTACAGCATTTTGAACAACACCTGCAGAGCCCTTAACAATCGCCTGCGTCTCAAAGGTTTCCCTGAAACAACAGCTGAATTACAGGAGATCGCGAATGATTGCCAAACCTCGCGAAATCCGTTGAGCCCTTGGTCTGGATGCGTCGGCGCTCTGGATGAGATATGCGTCAAAGTGAAGAAACCTTCAAAAAAGGAGAACCCTGCTCAGTTTTACTCCCGCAAGGGCTTCTACGCAATTCCCGTTCAGGCGCTATGCGATTTGAGCTATATTTACCGCTTTTGTTCTGTGCTGTGGACCGGCTCGACGCATGATTCTCTGGCATACTCTGTGTCCGGACTCAAGAGGGAAATAGAAACGGGCATTTTAGGAGAGATCTTCTACATTGTAGAGGACGAGGCGTATACATGCACGGAACAGGTGATCACACCCTTTCCCAAGAGTGAAGCAGACTGTAACCAGGACAACTTCAACTTCTACTAATCCTCGTTGCGCATGCACATTGAGCAGGCCTTTGGAATGCTCGTTGCGCGATGGAGGATTCTGAGAGGTAGATTGGAGTTCTCAGTTAAGAAGAGTACTAATTTTATCTGTTTATTAATGAAACTACACAATTACTGCTTGGAAAGCGATATCGAGAGCGAGCAGGTTGCTGTCGAACTAACGGACAGTGAAAGAGAAATGCTTGAAAATGACGTGCGGAGCTGGTCGGAAATATCAAGGGGAGTAACTCCCCCTGATATTTCCGACCAGCTCTGGAATTCTCGGGCAACTGTAGCCCGAGAATTCCAGAATCTGCCAGATAACGAGCGTCCTGCTCATGAGGGGACCCTGCCACCTCTGGACATCAACACTATCTCCAAGAAGCGAGATAAACTTGTGGCTGTAGTCAAGGGGAAAGGGAAAGAACGTCCATATCCGGTAGTGACGTGGTTATATCGTGTGGGACCGCAGTATAGTTCGGGAGAATCTACTGATAGGGAATCCGACTGAGGGGGGTGTTTTTTGGGTTACCGAGGTTGTGTTCCCATCCCAGTTGACACGCAACGTAATGGTAAAAGTAATTCGAGGCAATGGCCTCTCACTGTATTCGCATATACGTACTTTATTTATCCATTGTGAGAAAGAACGGCATCCGTTTGCACCGTTTCTACGTCATTTATTAGGACAACATCATCAATTGGTGTAAGTCCTACAATATCGCTGTCTGTTGCACGTCCCACAGCAGCTTCAACTCCATTCCTCCCCACCATTTCATCACTTTGCAATTTCTTTTGAGACCTGGACAGCAACGTGGAGCTCAGCAATTTCATAAAGTCTTTTGTTGCGTCCTTCAACATAGCATTGCCGGTAGCCTTAAGACCATCCTCTGCACCCCCAGCAGCATGCGCGTACGTGTCATTCGCGAAGCAAAAGAGCTGCAGAGGCTTTCCTTGCTCTTCCAAGTCCCGCAGCTCTTTGCTCGAACCGGCTTCCTCCCTCTCCTCCACTCTCCTCTCTGCCATGATGCGCTGAGACTCTGCTCTCATTCGATGAGAATCGGTCACAGCATTTACTAGCTGCTTGAAAGATGTTTTCATAGACTCGCCACTCTCTGCGTCACGGCGTTTGCGCTTTTTTCCCGTGGCAAATCCATCCCCATTCCATTGACCACTTCCACCTTCATCATATCCTCCTCCCTGCAGAATGACCTTGGTGCACATGTTCGTGAAGTTCTCATCAGCGTGGTCCGTGCCCTGTCTCGTACAAGTAAACAGTACCATCAGGCGTTTACCAATCGTATTCAACTGACCATTTGCACCATAGGTAAGAAAGTTTCTAAAGTTATCTGGATCGTTCTGTCCGGACGCTTTCCATTTCTGCAGAACTTCCGTGAACTGAGCCCTAATTTCCATAAATTATCCTTTAGAAACGATGCCGGGCGATGACAGGGCGGCGAAAAAATAGAATCAACGTCGTCAACTCTGCCGACTAAATCCAATCTCAACCTGATTTGAGAGTTGAAACGCGATTCAATTATTCCCCAATATGAGTCCCTCGTGAAACCTGTGTCCAATTGCAATTGGACGCAGGTCTCACGAGGGACAAGAGCTCAGCAGAGCCCATGGGCTCTGCTGAGCTCTTGTCCTGTACCAGCTAATGCGGCCTTCGCCAGTTCGTCATCTCTCATAACCACACACAGCCGCAAAAACTCGCTGATGCTAAACGGGGGAGTGCTTCTTGAGCTGGGGTTTGCATAGGTAATTTTTTCGGACGGCGGAGATGTACTGTTCGAGGGATGGGTTATTGATCCTGGATTTTGTGCACCTTGTGCTTGACGTTCTTGATTTTTCGGCGCACATGCAGGCGACTCAATCGAGTTGCGTCTGCACTTAGCCGGTTCTAACGACAGTTTAAGTCGCTTATACGCCTCTGCCTCCCCAACAGAGACTTCACGCAATAGCACTGAGTCTCTCGGTGCACGTCGGATCGCAATGGGAGATAGCTCATCCCTTTCAAGCTTCCTTCGAAGCCAACCTGAGAGTCGCGCCGTTTGTGGGTGAGTGTTTAACGTTATTTGAAACGTCTTGCCAGACAAGAAGGATGTTTTCAAATACAGGAAGGTCCTCGATATGTAAGCCAGCTTATTTTTTCCCTGTTTACATCCCCAATGTTTCAGCACTCAGTGCTGAAACACTGGGGATGTAAACACGTTAGCCGTCGAGGATTTGAGATCAGTCTGGTCTCAAATCCTTGACAGATAACGTCCAGAGAAATTCGTAAACTGCGGAGAGTTCATCCGCCACATAGATTCTTACCTTTCCAGCTTTGCCCTCGTCGTCAGAAAAGACATGTGCACAATCATTATGCACATTTGCTCTGCTGTTCAGAACTTGAGATCGGCCGCTGAGCCCACTAGGAATTTCATCTACGCTCGACTTCGATGTGTGGTCGCTTCGCCCGTGAATGCCATCAGAATCCTCCGTGGTTAGCAATGGTTGCGGGCTGGTTGGGGGTACTGTAGGACTTTCCAAGACAGAGGGTACTTCGCTTTCTTGCTCACAGCTCGTTTGCGCATGAGAATCGACAGCTCCATTTTTCCAAGCTCAATACATCAGATCGTTTTTCGTTTGCAGTTACTGGTATGCTAACCGCTACTGTGCTTGGTGCGTGAACAGACTCTGCGCTTGAACGAAGCAGGTTCTCGCTCCCAGCTGTGTTTTTTGATGGCTCTGTGACATCTCTGCTGCGTCCATAATATCCTTACCACGAATGTCTACGGAGCGGGGAACAGATACTCGCTCACCGCCTTCATAAAAGTGCAAACGACGACTGTCAGTGTAAGCAGCAGGATCACGATGATTTGGATCCACGCGCAGAAGTCGGGGGCTGCGTTTGGAAGTCCGGCAGCAGTCATCCTGCGTGAAAAAGGGGCAGAGATGGACAGAGGCGAAGGAGGGGAAATGGTGATCAAGGAGAGAATAGGTTACCCGCAATAGTCGACGCAAGTAGATAAAAAAAAATAAAAGGGATTGCGCAGCGACTCGTGCTAGTTGTTCGGCTCGTTGGTGGGGAGATATTTGTTGAACAGGGCGAACTTTTCGGATGAGGATTGCTTTTAGCAGGTACTACCCTCTAAAGGTATGAAGGGTCTGCTATGGCGGGAGAAGGGCGAACTTTTTGTATCTCTAGGATTAGAAGTTTCGCGTCGTGATAATTTGAAAGTTGGAGGTTGGAAAAATGGATCTTCTTCGGATTTATGTGATCTACGATAGCCAATTAGGTTTTGTTTGGTGGCATCGGTTTACGCACAGATGTATTGCAGGGGATTAAATTAATCTGCAGTGCGTTGATATGTGTATTTTAAGGAATGTTAAAAATAGACCAATGAGAAGCTGTTTTGCACATGAGACGCCCGCGACCGTCCAAAACAAGCCCGTCCAAGCCCGTCCAAACTGTCTTAAGACCGGACCTGAGTGGGAGCAGCGATGGAGGGCGGGATAAGGCGCGTAGTGAAAAGGCGGTACGATGGCGTGGCGGCCTTATGCGGGGGATGTGGAGCGTATCTGACAGCAACGACAGCAACGCAATAGTCTGGCGATAGCCGCCTCGCCATTCGCGCAATGCCATTGGGCGTTCTGGCGCCATGTCTGCCTAACATTCTGTCGTATAACAACGCCTGCGCCATGCCGACGTGTTCCGCTCCTAAACGGCCGGCCCTCCGCCGTCCAGCTCCCCTGCCCCCCCCCCCTCTCTTTCCTTCCCCTCCCTTCTTTCCTTCCTCCTTCTTCTTTCT